CTACAAAAAGCTACTGTTGGACATTAATTGACCCTCTCCCTTTAAAATCCATCATCATCACCACTGCCACTCCCATAATTCTTAGAACCGTAAAATTTTTTTGTTCTTTACTCTTCTCTCTTCCAAAAATCAATTCAAAAATTCTCTTCCAGAATTATTAAAGATGACCAACCCCCAAGATAACCCAGGCAATCCTCCACAACCTACCCCTTCCGATTCCTCCACTACTCCTCAACCTAGCACAACCCCCCAACCTAGGAGAAGGCGAGTGAAGATGCTTGCTCGCAAAATTGTGGCTACAAGTGTGCTTTCAAAGAAACTAAACGCAAAATTAAAGGCTAGTCAAGCCCAAGATTCTAAAAATTCTAATGATTCTTTCATGTCTGCTAGTGAGGGGGAAGGAACTGGGTCTTCTGACTCTGAACATGCAACATCTATGCAAAATCCTCCCTTCTGAGGTACGTTCTGCTCTAGTTGAAATGTTTTAGTTGGGTCTTTTGTGAATGTGGAGAAGTCTGAGTCAAGAAGGAGAGGATGTAAAAATAAAAGTGAAAAAGAAAAGGAGAGTGGGGGTGTGAGTAGTGATGTGAGCGAAAAAGGGAAAAAAGTGGTTGATTCTTCACCCACTTCTAAAATGGTTAGAATGGCTATCTGTGGGGCTGAGCATGAAAATGTGGTAGAAAGTAGCAATAAAACAGGGGGGAGTGGTTCAGGGGAGGCTGCTAAAGGGCTTGTCAATCTCAGTTCACAAGCAGATGAACCTGGTTCATCTATTGAGGAGACCCTAGCAGACCTTCTGAAGAAAGTGGGTGCAAGCTATAACCCCAAGAAAAGGAGAACTCCAACACCAAAAGCTCCTAGAACTGAAAAAACTACCAAGAAAAGGAAGGCTACTTCTCCAACAACTGCTGATATTCATCTACCAAAAGGGAGGGCCACAAGGAGTAAGTTGAAGAGGAGTGAGGATGAGTTGCAAAAAGCTATGGAAGAAAGCAAGAAGAAAAGAATGGACAAAGGGAAAGCTAAGGTTGTAGAGCTTGTTGAGGCTGTTGATGTGGATGAGATGGACCCGGTCCATCAGGGTGAACATGTGATTGTGGAGGTGCAGACCCCTAAGCCCAAGAAGACCAAGACTTCCTCCAAGAAGTCTTCATCTGTATCTAAGACTGCTGAACCTCCTTTGGCTAAAAGGCCAAGGTCTGCTGTGAAAGCCAAGCAAGTTAAAATCACTGAGGAGGAAGATTGGAGTGGTGAAGAAGAGAGTGAATCTGATAATGAACAAGACAAGCTGGTCAAGTTTGGCAAACGAACCATCTTGAAGGGTAGACTTTTGAAGGATTTGGAGAAACCAGGGACGGTTCGACTGGTTGATGCTCTAGCTGTTCAAGGATGGAAGGACATGGTCCTTCAGTTGGATGGAAGGCTGGAAAGGAATGAGATTATTGAGTTCATGGCCAATGCAGAGGTCAAGGATGGTAGAGTTACCAGCCAGGTGAAAGGGGGGTTCAAGTGTCTTTTGATGCAAAAAGGTTGGGTGAAATCCTTGACATTCCTTCTGAAGGGTATAATGATTACACAAGGCAAAGATGGCCAAGTCTGAACTCCCTTCCCACTGCCCTTGCCATTACTAGGAAGTTTAGTGATAGCGTAGAAGTGAATGAGGCCAAGGTTGTGTATAAGAGTGAAATGAAGCCATTCAACAAAGTCCTGTTTGAATTTGTCAACAAATGTTTGCTGCCTAGGCAGGAAAGAAGGCACATTGCCAACTACGTGGACTTGGTTTGGATGGAGTGTCTTGAAAGTGGCGGCAGATCAACTGGCTTGGATTTATGATCAAGCTACTTGATAGGGTCATCAATGGCTCCAAGGCACATGCCACACCTTATGGTTTCATTCTCACTACTGTTCTTGCTCGTTGTAAGGTGCCATTGAAGAAGTGGGAGACGACCACAAGCAAAGACCATTTTGGAATCAATACTCTGATTGCTTGTGATTATGAGGTCAATGTCATTCCCATGAACATGGTTCATCTAAAAAGACACCTATCAATAGCAAGGTCAGAGCTCTATTACAGGAGAGTGGGGCAAAGGATGCTAAGATAGCAAGGCTGAAGACTTGTTTGGCAGAGGTTGAATCTGAGAGAGATTCTCTCAGAACTGAGTTCACAAAGGAAAAGGAGAAGAATGATGGCATTCTTCAAGACATGCTGCACCTTCTCCAAGCCAAAGCCCAACCCTCTAGTTCTTCTAAGCCTTAATTTCCTTAGCCTTCATTTCCCAAACCTTGTCCAAACCCTTCAGTGACCCAGATTAGGGATTTTTTTGGTTGTTTTGCTCATGTTTTAACTATTTTTGTTTCTTTTTGTGGATTGTGGCAGAATCATATTCTCTATCAATGATGTTTGCTGTTTTTGCTCTTGTTGACTGTTTATTTTTCCTTGATAGTCTAAATATGTGTAGTTGATTGCTGATGATTAATCCATGAATGCATTTGCAGTTTCCCCAGTGGCCATGAGTAATTTTAAAATCTGGAAATCACACTTTGTTTATGCAACTTTTCGATGATGCCAAAAGGGGGTAAAGATGTGTGCTTTATATTCTGAATAGTGATGTTTATAACCTAATGAACCTGGTCCTTGATGATAAGTAAAAATTTCTAACTTTGCATTGATGTTGAGCTGAGTTCTGGTAGGGCCCAAGTGTATGAAAAGCACAGAGTTTGTCATCATCAAAAAGGGGGAATTTGTTAGCCCAAGTAAATGTGAGTTTTGAAGATTGACAAAGGAACTCAGACATGGACCAGATCCATCCTAGTTAAGCACATATATGGTTAACTCAAGCATGTGAGATGCACGTGAAGGAGATAAGCTTAACTTAACAGAAGTGATATCTCCTGATCCTGATTGAAAAGGTTGCATATTGGATAAGGAGAAGGACCCCTTACTCAAAGAGAACACGGCTTAAGAAAGAGGAGGAGTTAGAGGTTGAGATCAACTAGAACTCTTCCACCAAGGAAGATTAGCATCAGACTTCTAGTCAATCTCTATTTACTAACTCCATAAATATCAGTGTTGTTCTCTTTTACAGGTAACACACATAGAGAAAAGTTAAACGCGAATTGAGAGCAAAATAGCAAGGTAATTTTATAAGCAATTTGTGTGATTCAAGCGTGCAAACCTAAAGCTACTTGAACCAGATAGAAGAACCAGTTCCAAGTGTCTATCTTTTATTCTAGTTCAATTGTAGTAGGTGTTTATATATTGTACCTTTCAGCTTTATCTAGAAAGCAATTGTATTACGTACTCAGAGTTTTCAAGTTAGAGTTAACTTGAAGTTGTCGCAACAGTTGAGGTTGTGCGCTACAACGGGATTAGAGTTAGTCCTAGGTTTACAAAAGAGTTTTTGTAAATGCAGTTTTTGGCTCAGTGATTTTAGTGGAGAGTTTGGAAAAATCCTACTGGAAAGTAGGTTGTGGTTTTTTCACCTTTTGAGCCAGGCATTTTCCACGTAAAATACTTGTGTTCTTTACTTTCCGCATTTATTATTTCTTCAATAGTAGGTTAAGGAACACATAGAAGAACCAGATCCTTCCATAAACAACTTAAGAGAAAAATTGGTCACCACACAAATCACCCCCCCTCTTGTGTGGTATTGAAGTATAAAACATCAGGTAGGTAGTAGGTAATCGGTTAATTAAGTAGGTGGCTGTCAAAAAGCATTCTCCCCAATATCTAGTTGGTAATTTGGATTGAAACATAAGTGCCATAGCAGTTTCTAGGAGATATTTGTGTTTTCTCTCCACTATCCAATTTTGTTGTGGTGTGTAAGGGCAGGTTTTCTGATGAATGATGTCTTTGGATTGATAAAATATGGTAGCTTCATGACTGGTAAACTCTAGCCCATTGTGAGATATGATGATCTTTACAGAAGTATTGAATTGGTTTTCAATCATGGTTATAAAGGCTTTGAGGGCTTGTAGAGCATTGCTCTTACTGCTTAGTAAATGTGTCCAAGTGGACCTACTGAAGTCAACTACTTATGTGAGAAACTAATTGTAGTTATCATGGGTGGTTACATGGTAAGGACCCCATATGTCAATATGCAGTAATTCAAATATTTGAGTAGAGGTACTGTTTCTTTGTGGAAATAGAAATTTGGCTTGTCTAGCCATAGGGCAAATTAAGTAGATGAAGGGTTGTTTAGGTGAGAAATGCACAGGTATGGAGGATATCCCTCTAATTTTGACAAAAGGAACATGACCAAGCCTATTATGGCACAGAAGATTCACATAACACTCACCAAACACAGCTGAGAACTCATTCTTATTATTGTGAGTGGATCTATTTACATTTGGCGAATGATGATATGAATGAGTAGGACTTCTGAAGTCTTCACTATTTATACTAGTAGAAGAAAAATAGTTGCAAAAGGAAACTGACACAACTGTATTTGAGAGAGTATTTTTACCCTTTGGACACCTGGAACATAGGCAGTATAGTCCCTCCTTACTACTACCAATCACCTGAGGCCTCTTCATTGAAGGGGCATGTAACAGACACATTGCATCAGTAAATAGCACAATACATCTAAGATGCACTGCAAGAGAATGGACAAAATTAGATTGTATTTGAAAGAAGGAACATAGAGGACTTTGTGTAAGATGATTTCAGGGCCGAGTATCACATCTCCAAATTCAAGTACTTTCACCCTATATCCATTTGGTAAACTTATCAATAGAGGATATGGTAGTGTGGTGACATTGCTAAGTGATGTTTTATTGAAGTTCATATGGTTAGATGCTCCTGATTCTGATCCATAGGTCAGACTTTGATTCATAACATTTGCATAATGGTTTGTTAAAATCAATAGAATAGGTGCATACCACGATACCTGCGAAGTTGACAACACCATTAGTGATGTTGGCATTGTTGGGAGATCATCCTGTATTGCCTGTCTGAAAATGTTGCAGCACGCTCATTATCTTCCCATATTGCTCCCTTATTAGATTGACATTTTGATTCTCATCATGTGGAACTGAATCATCTTCCTTCTCATGAAGCAAATTAGCTGGAACTCCATGTACATTTGCCAAGATCCTTTCCCTCTATTGAACTTATGACGTTGAGTCTGATTTGAGTTGTTTCTCTGATTAAACTGTTGAGCACCGGTGTTGTTGAAGCTTTGATTGTTGTACGAATTGACTTGGGGATGTAACTTGTAACATTTCTCCTTTGCGTGATCTGGTCTTTTGCAATAGTCACAAAATGGCTGACCCCTGTTATTTGGAGTGTAGTGTGTTTTGAAATTTCTAGCTCCGAATGGATTTTGATGTTGTGCAAATGTGGCGTTCACATGCAGTGAAGTAGACTCGAGGTTTAGCTGATTATTTGGCCTGAATTCCCTTTGTTTCTCTTTTTGGATTGGGAGGGAGAAGGCTTGTGCCAAAGATGGCAGAGGTTTCATCATCAAAATACTTCCTCGCACTATTGTATAGACCTCATTTAGGCCCATCGAGAATTGAATGAGTCGTCGATCCTGTTCTTCCTTATGCAACATTTTCTTTGACCCACATGTACAAACACAGCTGTGCTGAGATTTACCACTCAGGGTGTTTAATTCTTCCCATAGTCTCTTCATTCGTGTATAGTAGGTAGTGATGTCTAAGGAGCCCTGAACAAGGTTGTTGATCTCCTTTTGGACTTGATATAGCTTCGCCCTATTTGTTTGATCATATCGATCTTCCATTTCCCTCCATAGCTCGACTGAGTCATTAACATACTCCACACTATCAGAGATCTTTTATACGAGGGAACTAAGAATCCAGGAAGTTATCATATCATCGCATCTCTCTCATTAATGAACTAAGGTGAATTGGGGTTAGGTTTCCTACATTCCCCATTTATAAATCCTAATTTGTTTTTGACTAATAGAGCTCGTAACACACTTCTTCTCCAAGATCTATACCTAACTCAATCAAATGAAACCGACACTACCATTACTCCTGGACTGTCCAAAGGGTGAATTTACAAAGGACTGCTCGCATTGATGACTGGTTGGTCATTTTTGCTCGTACTGGGCGTGGTTTCTTTGTTTTGATCGATAGCCATTTGAGAAGCTCTAATCAATAAAATTGACGAATATATCAACCGATCTTGTGAGTAGATAGATCAATTTTGCTGAAAAATCTTCAATCCATATGAAAATTGCAGGTCGAAGTCGCGGATCCAAAACCCTAGCACATGAAAGAGGAAAAGAGATTTGAGATACTGAGAAAAGGAACTCCGGTAGACTTCGAGTAGATGTGTTCAACCGGGCTCTAATATCATATTGAGATTATCACTATGAAGAAGAGATGAAGCTGACACAGAAGCTCTAATGGAGGTTGTCGAAAGTTCTGAGAGAGTAGAGAGAGAATATGAAATAAATTGTAAAATGAAACTCTACTATATTTCTCATTACTGCAAATGTGTATATATGTACACGTATGACAGCTGCACAAATACAACTAATTCTATAACTACTACAACTAACTGGATATAGTTATATGCTGACTCAGCACAGTACAAAGTGGGAACAATATAATAATTAATTAAGCTCAATAGCTATCACCACTACTACTAGCTTTATAGAGTATATCGTGATTCATCAAATAAACAGTAAATTAAGAGTATAGTGTGATTCATCAAATAAACAAAATCTAATATACTGGCACTCGAGTAATACGATTTAAATATTTATTTATTTATATTTATTAATTTTAAATAAAAATTACTTATGGATGGTCATATACTAAGAAAAAGACAATTATTCCACATTACATTTCGGGACAATATTTTAAAAATAGGATATTTCTCAATTTTTTTTAATATGATAACTAGGGATTTTGACGCATTTTATACTCTTTCTTGCTTATGCTTTGATTAGAAATTCATAAAAAATAGTCCCAAAAGGCTCACAAGTTGTACTTGATTGCATATTTGATGAACAAAAGGACAAGATGTCAAAGATCAGCTCAAAAGGAGTGAAACTTGCACAAGTGCCAAAGACAAGACAAGCTCAGGAAAAACAGGCCCAGTGCGGCCGCACACCACTTTGTGCGGTCCGCACTAGGAGATTAAGAGAGGTGGAATTTCAGGCATAAAGGCAATGCGGCCGCACTAGGATTTGTGCGGTCCGCACTGAAGGCAATGCGGCCATACTCGGTTTAGTGCGGTCCGCAGAACACAAGATCAGAGAGATGCCATTTTTAGAGTTTCAAGCCAATGCGGTCCGCAGTCGATTTTGTGCGGACCGCACAAGAAGCCTCCGCGGCCGCAATCCATCCTGTGTGGTCCGTAATGCCTGAGTTCAAAGAATCAGATTTTGAGGTTCAGAGCCCTACTGCGGCCGCACACCATTTTGTGCGGTCCGCACTAACCCCGCAGGGGCATTTTTGTCCAGAATTGTCAGCTTAGTATAAATAGCTTCTTTTCCATTTTTAGGTCAGGCAGATAGTATCAGAACATAGCTGCGCTCGTGGGTTCGAAGTTTATAGCCATTTTGGGCAATTTTATCTACATTTCATCATTGACTCTTTGTGTTTATCTTAGTAATTAATTAATATGAGTTTATCTTCATCTATTTCTTGTTTTTCTTCTTTAATTATGAGTAGCTAGACCCATAAGCTAGGGTTGTGGCTCAACCCTAGTGTGGGTAATTGATGGGTCTTGTATTTTAGGGCTAATTTGACTATGGGTGTTTGTTATTTGGGCCAATTTCATGGTTAATTGCTGAATTAGTGGTTGCAAATACTAGTTTGTGTTGAGTTGACTTGAGCTCTTCTTAAGAAAGAGAGCCTAAGTCTCCGAAATTGGTCCAACAAGGAATTGGGGCGTACTCAAGAGATTGATAGCCCCAATTAAAGGGTAAAACCTTGAGAGAGTAATACCCGACTTGAACCCTAGTTGCTTGTGCAAATTTGCATACCTAATTGGTCTTGAGAAAGTCAATTTCGGGAAAAATCACTCGAACCACCAAGAGGTGTAGAGTGGGTAAGGTCGTGCAACGGTTATATCATACTCCCCAAATATGTCAAACATGCCTTAGACTCAAGTACCCGTCAATTGACCACCTAGGCGAAAGTCACTACCCTAGTGCCTTTTTAACCTATTTAAACAACTCGTAGCATTATAACTCTTAGCTTAATTTAGTTGCATTTACCATTTGTAGTTTGATAAATAATACAAGTAAAACTAAAACCCCAAAAATATTTAGAAGCGTAATTTGGAACACATACACAACTCTACACTAGATAGATACTCGATTCCAAATTCTAGCTCTCTGGGATATCTATCCCGACCCTAAAACGGGTAAAGCTGCTCCGACCCTCTCTCGCTACTTAATTAGTAGTGCGGAGTAGGCCGCGATCACTTTTTGGCGCCGTTGCTAGGGAGCTAACGGTTTTGGCTATCTATCTAAATAGATTTGTGTTTTGTTCTTCTTTCCTTCTTTGTTACAAATTTGTTTGTGTCAATATATCAAGTACAAAATGGCATTAAGTGCTAATGACCCTCTTGGAAACGTGAATGCGGGGGAGGAGGTAGACGACAATGGAGATGAAGTGGTGCCTCTTGTACCTCAAGGACAACATAGAGGCTGCCAGGCTAATGCAAATAAGAACGTCCCAGACCATCCTCCGCTACCTCCAAGGGTGGCTCCTAGAGTTCTTCCCAACCAAGGCTATGCAAGTGCAATTGTTCTGCCCCGGATCCGGACGGGCAATTTTCAAATAACCAACATAATGCTGACATTGCTGGAGCAGCGTGGGTACTTCACGGGCGCTGCCACTCAAAATGCTTACAAACATCTCAAGGGGTTTGTGGATACTTGTTGGAGGAGCAAGCAAACCAATGTGTCCGAGGATGCACTTCGATTGAGGCTTTTCCCATTCTCACTTAAGGGGAAAGCATTGGATTGGCTTGAGTGACTTCCCAACCATTCCATCACAACTTGAGATGAGTTGGCGGATAAGTTCATTGCAAAAATTTTCTCACCGGGACACATGGCAGCACTACGGGATGAGATCTTAGCCTTCAAGCAAGAACCTACTGAACCATTGCATGAGATTTGGTAGCGATACAGAACTATGTCGAAAGAATGCCCCAACAATGATATGACAGAGGCAATGATACAACAGACCTTCTATTGGGGCATCAATACAACGAATCAGTGCATAGTGAATCAAATGGCTGGGGGAAATTTCATGAAGCTGCCTTATGATGAAGCTTGTGCTATTCTGGATGAAATGGCTGACATATCCTCCACTTGGTAAAGTAGAGCCAATGTGCCACAGGGTGACCCCACGGTCACTCATTTGCATAAAGAACTACATGACCATGGTCAGGCTATAGCAGAACTTACAACAAGAATGAACCAATTAGCAAAGGCACAGTTGCAACAATTTCAGAATCCTCGCCAAGTAAATGCCATGGAGGGTGTTAACATGCTTGTGAACAACAGAAGACAGAGAGGTCAACAGAACCAAGGGAATTCGGATCAATTTGACAATGATTGTGGTGGATTCCAAGATGATTGTTATGATGGGCAGAACGAAGAGGTGCAATATGTGAATAATTACCAAGGCCAAAGAGGCAATTCTTCCAACCAACAACTACAATGGTGATCCCAGGGCATTTAGGGTAACCAACAACAAGGCAACAATAACTGGAAGAATCAACAGCAAGGGAACAACAATTGGGGAAATCAAAATAATAACCGGAACAATCAGGGAAACTGGGGCAACAACAACAATTGGGGAGGAAACAACAACAACCAAGGTGGATGGAACAATAACCAAGGAAATCAGGGGCAAGGATTTCAAAGGCCCCCAATGTACCAACAACCGAGCAATCCACCACCTTTTCCATCCCAGGGTCCTAGTACATCCAACAATGAAATGGGTAGAATTGAAATGATGTTCGAACAAATGATGAAGAAGAATGCGGATTCGGATGCTCAATTGGCTTCTCACAATACTTCCATTAGAAATTTAGAGGTGCAACTAGGCCAAATCTCTCAGTCTTTAAATACACGCCCTAAGGGTGCTCTACCAAGTGATACGGTAGTGAACTCGAAGGGCGGGAACACTCATGTTATGGTTGTGACCACTAGGAGTGGACGAGGCGGTGATGTGAATGCCTCCAAACAAAAGCAAGTTTTTGGTGATGACGTTGAATTGCAAGAAGATGATGTTCCTTTGGTGGTTGAGAACGTGGTTGATAAAAATGTGAATCAAGAAGTGAGGATCAATTTTCAAGATGCCGAGGTGGAAACGCAAAGTGATGTGAACCCGTCTAGGGAGCATGTAATAGACATGCCGGAGCCGATTTTGCCAAAAGCCAAGGCACCCTTGCCTAGGCCACCTCCCCCTTATCCTCAGAGGCTAGCCAAACAGAAAAATGAGAATCAATTCAAATAGTTCATTGACATGATGAAGAGCTTGTCCATTAATGTTCCTTTGGTAAAGGCTTTAGAGCAGATGCCTGGCTATGCTAAATTCATGAAAGATTTGGTGACAAAGAAAAGATCCATGGACTGTGAAACTATCAAGATGACCCACCAAGTTAGTGCTATAGTACATTCAATGGCTCCGAAGTTAGAGGATTCCGGTGCTTTCACTATCCCTTGCACTATAGGGAGTGCATACTTTGCTAATGCTTTATGTGATCTAGGGGCAAGCATCAACTTAATGCCCTACTCAGTTTTCA